TAATGACAATGGCCGGGTCAACTGCGTAATAGACTCGCTTGACAGCAGAGTTCAACCGCTTGCTAACGAGTTCACTCACGTTTACTCGAACAAAAACACTGTGTCACCCCACCCCACGCATTCCATGTCATCTACAACACAGCAAACACAAAATTACTAAAACTTGCCGAGGCCCTAGCCATTCACACTCTCAAACCTGATCGATGCAAACAACGCGAATGGTTAGTCACATTAGCTTTGCCTTGGTGATTGACCCCCTGCCCTATCTCATTCCCCCTTTTTGTGTGTTTTTGCGTTGCGTTGTCCGTTGTGATTAGCGATCTTGTGTTTTTTCTCTCAAATCTGTTATCTCACTGACTATAAAAATCATTTGGACTGCAGTATGCACGTGTACAGATGCAGCGAAATGACCATGGATATATTGTGCAAACCCATGTTTCTGACTTCTCTGTTCAAATTTGTGACGGGAAAACAGTGTTTTAAGTTTCTCAACTCTATGTTCACAAAAGCAGGTTGTTAAAGCTATCCCCATTCTGTTTCATTAACCCTCCCTCTCTGACGTTTCCTGATCCTCGATTCCCCATTATGAACCACCGATTTACATTTCTATTTTTACGTTTTTCCCAACCATATCCATATGTATTCATTCTTACCCTGCTTTTTAATCGATTGTTTTAGTCAGGTTTACGGGAAGGTGTAAAAGTTTAAGCAAAGGCTACCAAAGGCCCTTTGGAAAACGTGAGAAAATACGACAATTGGATACGCACGCACATACACGGGGAGAACACTTACAGAGTATCCAATCACGCTGTCGAGGGCAGCATTCGATTCGACTTTCTTAAACTGACAGCTGACATGATAGAAAGTAAATAGCAAGTACAAGTTCTCATCCACCTGACTCGGCAGTTGAATCTTGATCTCATCGTAAAGATCGGGCGAACTGGAAAACAAAACGAATTGCATGTACAACCAGTTTGGCCATGTGACGAGGTGACACAAATCATTAGCGGGGGGAGGGAGCGGGCTTGGTCATGAACAACAAACAGTTGGAAAATCATCACTTACCGATTATGGTATAAAACCGTGGTGAAAGCCTCTTTCACAAACGTGGGACAACTGCTTCTTCCAAATATGGCCTTGAAAACAGACAGGTGAAGAGCGGGGATAGATTTTCGACAAGAACGTTTTAGAAACAAATGAACAGATCAGAATGACATGTGACTCGGGAAATATAAATGAGTTTTGCATCCTGAAACCTAATGATGAATTTCTTGACAATGCGATTTAGAACAGTGACAAATTTTTTTTTTCTTAAAAAAACATTTCTGGATCTGCTTGAGAAGAGGGGTGATGCAAAACCTGCCGACGAATCCGCATCTAACCAAATCGGCTGGAGCGCTATTTTGAATCTGGTGCCACCACATTTATGGGAATAATAAAGTGAAGGGTTCACAATAAATTCCTTAAAGTTAGCAACATCTTGAATTATGGAAACAGTCGTTCTGACAACATCATATGGACAGTAATGGGCAATCGTTTCTTCTTCACAAGAGAACGTATTGCAAAGATGCGAAATGTGAAACGAAGGGGACACGGTGATTCGTTTCCACAAATTTAACCCAGACAATTGAAATTGGCGAGCAGACGAAAAAAGGTTTGGGTAAATGTAATTAAAAATTTTCTTCTTCGTTATCAGAGTGTAGCGAAAAGTGTTTTCCCGAGCACTTTGTCTTATCGATGCAAGTCGTCTGCATGCATTTGGGGAGTGAGGTAAGCATGCAGCGGTTTGCAAAACGACTCTTCAGCGAAACGATTTCTTACTACTAATGAGTAGTTGAGCTCCTCATTTCGAATTAGATGCTTTCGTGGAAATACGCTGTCACATTTCTCACGATATGCATGCACCACGCTGAATCCTCTGATTCAGGCAGCAAATCACTGAATCATCGGAAAAATAGCTTGATCACGTGCTCGTTATAGGAAATGTTCTGGAGGGTGTGGTCTACCAGACCACTGTGTGTGTGCGCGCGCGTGGGGCGTGGTCTGTCAGATGAGCGTCGATAATTTGACTAAACTGGTCAGCATGACTCACTACGTCTTAAGCGATGGATTGAACGATCGGAATAACCCGGGTTGCCTCTTCAGTTCAGCTCATTGTCCTAGGCAGTACTTCATTTACTAAATTTAATTCACCTCATTAACACGGTTATATTCAGTGCACATTATGAAGTGTTTGTGAACAAGGGCCGACAGACACGATTCAGAAAACGAACTGTCTTTCACCGTTCGGATTAACTCTTTTCATTCTTCACTATTCTCCAAACTGGACAATTTACCCGCATCTGCACAGCATACAGGTACCCACTAGTGAATTTGGAGAGCAGTTTCAATATGTGCGAGATGTTCTGTATGGAGGCTTTTCGTTCATTTCTATTGTTGTTTTCCACGAAACGGACAGATGATGGAACAACCAGTCCTGAGGTTAGGAAAGGAGTATTAGTAAGGGATGGTCCCGGGGCGCGTTTTACACAAGTCACTGACATTCAATATTCTCCAGGGCCATTGGAGTGTACTAAAGTTAACAGTGTATAAACTGAGACCTGGTAACAAGGTCTTGACCATGCGATGGCCGACAAAGTGCACTTGACAGCTGTTTCGTCCTCTTTTGGACTCATCAGCAGTGCACACTTTTTGTGTTGTTGTCAGGACTCGAAGCCAAGACTATCAAGAGTATCTGGTGCCTCTTACCAATCGAATGGACTAATCCAACCTTGTTACTGTAAAAAGTCCTGACCAGTTTCTGTTAATACAACCAAGCACTTTCGCAAGCCGGTTTTTTGTTAACATCCACAGGTTGTCCATATGAGTGACGGATTAGGGCGAAGAAGCAAAATTCCATTTCGCCTGTTCGCCGAGCTTGGCAATTTGTTTGCAAACGTTTCATCACCAGCCGAGGTGACATCATCAGTGCTTGTGAAGTGGCAAAATGTTGAGGACAGTACGAAGGTAAAAATGGTGAATTCAGGGGAGACTACAGTTCCTTAATAGAGATAACCCGAGTTCGCCACAGGAAGCGGTGCTCATCAAGGTTGCTCTATCTCTATCTCTTTATATTTCACTTTGTAATGGTTGGAATTATAGGAATAGCTCTGACCTCGTGTGAAGATAGCGGCATTGACATGCCCCCCCCCCTCTCAGGTAGCAGACTGTGTAACCTAGAATATTTAGATGAGCCTGTACCGTAAAGTGAAGACGCAGGTTTGTTGTAAGTTGTTTTTTTGGATCGTTCGGCCATGTGTTTTGCACCTTCAAAAAGCAAAATGTTACAGCAGAACTGGGATGAAGAAGCTAACAAACTCACCCTAATTGGAGAAGTACGAGAGAAAGTATACAGTTTGATGCTGTTTGGGCGGCTATATCTTTTATCTGGCCGACGCATCACAGATGAATCCATGGGCTCACATGAGTGAACAACAGGTACTAATGACTCTGGGGTTTAACGATTCTGTTACTAATCACATAAGAATTTATAATTTAAAAAATAACTTAAGAGGCATTCACAAGGTGCGGTGGGCATTTGCCAAATCAGGACATCCGCGGCGCCGTCGCGACATCCGACTATCTGTGAAGAGCCGAGTTTGTGCCAAAGTAGTTCGACCAGCTCTGCTTCACGGTACAGACACTTGGTCAGTACGGGAACAGGATAAGGATAGACTAGCGATGTTGGAACAGCCCCGTCTTCGTCATATGGCAGAAGTTTGGCAGGACACACGGACGAGCAATACAGAGATTACGTTTAGAATTTTAGGTAACCACGGTCGGTCATCCAATAGAGCATGTGGTCGACCTCCTTAGATTAAGCTGGTTGGGGTTTGTGTTACCTATGGAGGTTTTACGTTCGAACCCCACAAACATCACTCAATAAGGCTACCTCTGAGTCTTTTGTGGGCCTTTCATTAGCAGTTACTCTCTTTTATTGGAAATCAATGGCACAACACTGAGCTGAAAAGGCAACGATAACGGAAAACGGGCAAAGAATAAAATGAAAAACAACGGAACTCAGCTCGATTGAACTGATCTCGCAATGGTTTACCGGATAAGTTGAACAAGAGACCCAGGGTCAGGTGAGAGGAAAGCGATAGAGATTCCCCTTTGGCTATCGTCTCAATCAAATCAGAATGCCCAGTGAATGGATAGCCTTTTGGTTAACATTGACACCGACGATTATCAAATCTATCTGGTTACATGTGTGTGCCGTTTCCCTCTTGTTCCGACCGGGAGCAACTTGATGACTAAGACGGGAGTGGGAGAAGGCAAGCAGGGAACGGAAGCAACGGGGCCAAACTGAGATAAGGTCTATAGTGGTTCGCGTAGTATCTTCAGCTACAGTGCCCCCGAACGGACACAATGAGTCATGCGGTTCCCGGAAATCGTCCAGTAAACTAACGCTATTAATTCCTCTCTCGCCTTCTCTCGTGAGAATTTCGGACCAAATGACGCATTCACACGGTTGAATACAATTTGATAAATAGTTCTGGTCAGATGTTTTCCCCTCGCGGTGACAAAAGGACGATTACCATTAGTCCCAGTGAAAGTGAAGTTGCAGCCCAGATCCAGTCGGAGCGATCACCAGTGGGGAAAAAACTGGAAAACAATTTGCGTGCGCGCGCGTGTACTTTGTGATTGGTTTACAATCTCTCAGTAAAGCATGTCCAATTCAGATTGCATTGACACAGAAATCCCACATGTTAACATTTCGTGCACAGTTCGTCTGTCGTCCAAACAGCGAAACCGATCCACACACACGCACACACATACACAGAGTCAGTAAATGAATGAGGTTAGAGTGTATCCGGTCCCAGTCGGGATGCACTTTAGACAGAGGAGTTGTCGACCGTTACGCGTAGTAAAAGATTATTTCTCAAACCTGTTGGGAAGTTGTTGTGTCATCGTGGCAACCTAAGACAAGTTAATTGAGTTCCGTTCACATCCGCTGAAAATTAAGTTTTGGAGTAGTTTCCTCACGATCGCACTGATCGCACTAGAATCCAGTGAACCGGACGATCGTGAGACGGTAAAAAAGCTTTTCATCAGGGACGAAGCAGCGCGTACATTTCGCCTGGTGAATTACGCATGTCGCAACGGGACTGATTTTAAAGACTAGGTTTTTTTATAAGAGGAGCGGACCTCTGAGTACCTTTAAAATCAACACCGGAGTGATTAGAAGCCATCGGGTTTATCACGATTAAAAGGAGGAAAAGAAAGTGACAGTTTGAGCATTGAGATTCGGATTAAAAATGCTGACCAGATAGCAATACGCTTCAGTCCTTAACATAACCGAATGTCCTATTAGACCACCAACAAACATTTGAATAGAAGACAATGTAGCGAACAAGACTTGTGTTTGGCGATTTGTTTTCTTTGGTTAATACATCACAAAAAATAATAAATTATTAATCTTGAAAGAATATGGACAATGTCATTATATCCGGTATAGTGTCTAGTCCCCATCTGACAGAGATTGGGAGAGGCGAGTGAAAATAGGGTGAGGAGAGGAGACTATGTGAGAAGATACAACGGCTTCGCAAATTACTTTTGCGCACAGAAAGATGGACTGAGATGTTTATTAGTTTATTATTATTATTATTTAGATAGTACGTCTGCCCTTCCATGTTCTATTCGAGTTTCATGAACGATGATACATTGGCCAAAGAAGACGAATCCCTGAAAACAAGTCTTGTTTGCTGCGTTGTATTTTATTCAAAATAAATAGCAATGGACTCCGTGAAATGATATGTAGATTTAATATATGTATTGTAAAAAGATGAGGAAGGCACCTCATGGGACGCTGTGTTACATAACTCTAACAGGACTCATAATAGCACTGAATTGATATGCGAAGCGAAAATAGGAAAAATGTTTAACTTTCCTGACCGAATATTCACACGAAGTCGCGATGCACATTTTCAACACAATCCAAGACGGAAAAAGTAATATGTCCACCTAGTTCCGTCACACACAGACCCTTCTCAAATCCGCCGAGGTCAGCATCGTACAATTCCGTGCGTGGTATAGTCAATTTCCAGATTCCGTAAATCAACCAGCACACACCGTTTCAGATATTCTCACTGATTTAGGGTGGTGGCAATAAATCTGTTTCAGTTGCTGTCAATGGTCCACGANTGCCGCCGTTACCCATCTGTGGTGGTAGGCAGCATTGTTGCCGTATGGCTCAATACCACAAAAATCCTAGTGAGACATTGTTTTTTACGAATCTAAGTCCCAAGGCCTAGGTTGTTGACAATCATGAGTAAACGGTAGGTTCTCGTGACTATGGATCAAATCCTTCGGCAGTTCATCACACTGTATGTGATGGATTCGTCGTGCATATGAGGTGAAAAGCTGGGAAGCACTCTGGAAATCTGTTTCGACCTGGTCGGATTTCATCAGCAGCAGTGCGCGAATTCGTCGACCCAACTAGGGATTGAGAACCCGGGACCTCACAGGTAGAATGCAANCTAGCCACTGGGCCACCCGACAGCTGATTAGACCGTTTCTCACTTTGAATATACACGAAATAGCACACACACCATCTTTGAGAGCTTGTTGTGAGCATCGTGCCTTGCTCATCTCAGCACTAGCCACCTTCATACAACAGTAAAAACAACTGGATGAATTGCAACACTGCAATCCAACCAAGGATGCCTACAGACAAGATGAAGAAGATTATTTCTTGAAAAGCACTTTCTTGAAACATGATTCAAATAGTCACAATTTCAAAACACCTCACTGTACGATAATCCAGCTGGTTTGGATAGTGCAATGATCACACACATAAACACAAGTCATATTGTCCATCGCAATGGACAACAATTAGGCAGGCAAGTGTCCTGATGCAGAGGGGAGGTAGAGATAAGAGAGAATAGACCGAATGGAGGCGTCCAAACAGTGAAGCCTGGAAGACCGATTCAAACACACACGCGCGCGGACACACTTACCGGGAGTGACTTGGTCACATCTCCATCGGTGCACAACAACTGAACACAGATAGCAATGTTCCTCGATGAATTTTGTCGACTTGCTGGAAACGATACACTCCGTGGATAAACATAGAGCAAATTTCTGGAGGGGGGATGAGTGGAACAAACAAAAGTTCACAATTAGCACAAAGTTTAAATAAAATGCAGTAATTCTGTTTCATGAACAAACTGAGCCATGCATACAATTTATGTATACACATACACACACATACAAGCCGACACCGATGAACTTCAGTAGCTAGCCGATGATCACTTCGGCGTCCAAAACGTACTTCGATTACACTCTGTGGGACGATGAAGGTGGGGGAACTCTTCAGGCACACACACACGCACGGTTGTCCAGCGTGTGTGAAACATTTTCGATAGACAGGTACATGAGCCCGTCAGTGAACTTATACGCCTATGCATCATCAATAATCGATGCCAAGAAGGGAGGCGTAGAAGTACGAGAGCGAGAGAGAATTGTGGCTCACTCAGGTCAAGTCCCGTCTCGGTCTTACACACAGAAAATAGAACTCAAACGGGAATATCGATTGCGAGTAACGAAAAAATCACACACAATTTGATGATGGTTTACGGCTGCAAAAGTGAACGCAACAGAGTGAATGCGCAACAACGAGAAACCAAACCTGAACATACAATGGTAGACGGTGTCAACCTGCAAACGGGAGTTGTGTGAGTGAGTAAGAAACGCTTAATGAAAATAATGCACCCAACAGTACGTCACTGAGGTATCTTCACACTCTCGACCGGAAACGTCTCTTGCAGTTACAGTGAAAGATCACCATAGGTTCCAAATTCCAAGGTGATTTCTGCTTCTCACAGTTTCAAACCAGTTTAGCTGCCTTAAACTTACGGTTTTCGTCTTTTCGGTTATCTCTCAATGCGTCTAAATGTAGGGGTTACCTTCTCGCTAGCCAAAGGAGAACGGCTACATTCTTTCGAAAGGAATTGTTCTGTACTTTATGTTGACAACCAGCTTGTTCCCCCAGTAAATTCTCTCCGAAACCTCGGTGTCACTAGCTCCCAAGATCTCAACTGGACTTCACATTTAAACTGTACTTTTAAAAAGACTCGACGATTGTATTTCTTCATTTCTACTTGCGTTCTTTGAAAGTTTCACTGTATTTACTCATCCGATTTGTATATTCTTGTGTTGTTACTCATGTTCTATACTGCTCCCCAGTTTTATTTGCGGTCTTAGAGTCAAAGATTACACAATTCTACGCCGGTCTATTAAAATTATTTCTCGCACAAGCGGTATGCCCTATTTGCACTTGATTAAATTTATCGCCGAAAAAACAATTCACTTTTTGCGAAAACTTCTGTAACAATATTTTATTACACATCACTCACCCATTAAACACAGAACTTAAACGACGCTTATCCACTTCTGTAACTAGATGTCGTTATGAACTGGTTTATGCTCGTACCACTGTCTACCGTCTGTACGTTGTCCCGTATCTTTCGAGATTTCTGGCTCAAAAGGCATCTTTTAGAGAAAACTTTTTGAATTTCCTACACAATTGATATCCATTTTCAAACTTTCACGTCGCATTCCTTTGAATTTACGATGCTGCTTTTCACTTTTTCTTTGTGACTGTGTGCGATGATAAATGATCCTGGAGTGTAAGAAGCTGAGAATCCATCCAATAGGATGAACTACGCAATTTTTGACTTGACTTGAAAACACAAATGAAAACTGGTCAACAAAGAGCACTGAAACCGACAGATAGAGCCCATGGATATCAATTGTAATGAACTTCATTTTACAGTTTAAAACCCAAAGCGAACTTTGTACATTCGTCGGAGGTTATGAAATTAAAAAAAACACCGATAAACATCAAAACATTGAGTATCCTAAAATCTATATACTGGCAATACCTTTAATTTGGAGTAATCTATGGGTGTAATGCCCAAAATGTTTGCGATACCAATATACTTCACCTGGTGGTCGGAAAACATCAATTGGTTTTTTTAAAAACAGTCTAGCACAATTGGATAACAAATCCTGTACCTATAAGACGTAAACGGACTCATCAGTTGCGGTGAGGGCAATTCCAGCACCTCTCGAATCGGACGTAATTCACAGAACGAACTCGGTGCATTGGTCTCCTGTCGACGTGGTAGTAATTTGTCTATGGCGGCTTGTGAAGAAACTCGCCCGGAAGATTGTGGACGAATAAACGTATGAAAGAAAGATCCGTTATAAGGCAAACTTTCTGGACTGAGAAGAGGGAGTGATTTGATCAATCGATGATGGCTTTTCCCCGCAGCCGAATGTGAACCGGTCAATGTCAACAAGGCCGGCAAATTGAACGCTTCGGTCGCTTGCAGTCGTACTCGCAGAGTCAAATTGGATGCCGTTTTCAAACGCTTCAGTGTCGCTGGACGTAACAGCTCGGCAACAGGCATTGCGTCTCGGAGATTCGGTTGACCGACTGAATGCTGTGCGGTGGCCGCCAAAGTCCGAGTGGCCACATCCACAACAGCCAGTCGGGCGAGCGTGTTTCGATGCATATCGGATAAACACCGACCGAGCTCTTCGTCGCATGATTTATCCCATTCCTAGGGGAAAAGGTATAATAACAAGCCCAACTGAAGAGTTAGCAATCATCATCATCATCGTACAGCAAAATACGGGGAAGCAAACTTCACTGATAGCTGCCAAATTCACAATGCATACGCATTGGGGTTTGATGGACGGGTACTGCTAGAGTGTCCAGTCACTAAGTAGGAGAACGATTAGGATTCTCAACCAAAGCCGTTAGATCTGACAAGAACCTAACGGCAAGGTAGTGGGTGAAACTAAGTGTAGGCCCATTTACTGGGATCAATTACTCCTCCACCATTTTTTTACCGACTAAAACGCCAATTATAGTGGAACCCCAAACCTGGAGGACCAGGAGACTAGACTTCGTCCGACCTCTACCCTTCGACCTTCCAGGTATGATTAGATCTTCGGCTTGACAAAAGCCATCCTGTGTAGCTCGTT